TATATATATATATATATATTTTGTTGTTGTTGTTGTCAGCTCTTTTACTATTTGCTTTTCGTTTAGTGTATTTTTTATTTTTTGATATTTTTTCTCCTTGTTAATTCTTTCTGATTTTTGTCGTCTCCAAATGCTCATTAACGTGCCAGTCTGTTTGCGACAAGATATCATCTCGCCCGATCCTCGTCCACTTTTTCGACCAGGCCCGAAAGCATCGAGTGACAGTCCCAAAGTCGACGAACCTAATTTGTATTCCGTCATCCGTTAAACATCGCCACGCTTTCAAATAATTTCGTGACTCTTTCCAACAAACAAGAATGCCGACTAACTTTTCCTTCGATTATTATTTTGTTATATTGATTTTTTTTTTATTTTTAATCATTATTTTTTAATATAATATCGTTTTGTAAAATAATATGATAAACTTTATGTAGTTATATTTATTTGACGTTACTTATCTAAGCACGTATATTTAATACTAAAAACACGCGCACGGCCTCGTGACACGTTCATTTTCAATTCCATTTATTCAATGACGATAGTTCCTTTTTTCTTTTCTACCTCATTTCATCGACTAGTAAAAATGACGCAATTTTTTCCTACTTACGCTAATATTACGTATTATCTATACATAAATGCATAAATACATATTTACTTTTTATTGTTTTATCGATAGGAATTATTGGAATGATATTTCGTAATTAAAATTCATCAAGACCAATTATTTCCTATGTTTTCATTCAAATGCATGAATAGAAATTATTTAGAATTATTTATAGTTGATTTTTTTTCTTTCCTCATTTTTTTTTTTTCATAGAGATCATTGGTATGAATATTAAAAAAAAAAAACACGATTTTTTCTACAAATTTTCTATTTCATTCAAACTGGTACACAAATAGGTACATAAATGCAGATTTATCTGTTGTATTTTTTTTGTGTCTACATTTTTTTCTAGGATTATTTTTGTTATTTATCCAATAAGAAATATGGGAAAGGTATGGGTATGGGATATTAACATATCGTGTCGCAATCGTTCGTGGATAAACACGTTACTGCTCCTCCTTTTAGTATTTAGAATAGATTCTATCTCGTCT